CAATGCCTTCTTGTTGATTATTTCCAAGAACAACAAGACGAGCTTTATGTCTCTCAAGAGATCCATCGGCATTGAATTTTAGACGAAAAACCCACTTACATCCAATGGCCTTCTTCCCTGATGGAAGATCTTCTACTGTCCACGTTCCATTTTCTTCTAAAGCTTCAATTTCATTTTTAACCGCAAACCTCCAGTTTTCATCAAGTATGGCCTCTTTGTAGTGTTGAGGCTCAACTCCAGAAGTAATAGCAAACAAATAGGCTTGATATTTGTCAGAAAATTGGGAACTAGAGATGAAGTTATCAATCGGGTATGGCGTTACCGAAGGTGAAGGCGTGTAAAGTAGCGAGGTGACGTAGTCAGCAAGTCGTACCGGTGGAGTTTTCTTTCGATAGCCAAAACCCAGTTTCTCTGGTTCGGGTTCTGTTTCACCATTCGATGTAGATAACTCAGCTTGATCAACATTTGTGGACTGCTCATGTAATTCATTCCCGTTTTTGGTAGTGACGGAGGAAGAATCACGTTCTGGTTCTATTTCTCTTTCTTGAGTTTTTGAATTTTCTGAGACATGCTCTGTTTGGTTTGGAGTGACTGCAATTTCGGAAGTGTAAGTTGGAGTCACTGCCATTTTAGTTGAATTTAATAATGGAGAGACACACGTGTTTGGTATGACGTGAGTTTCTTCGGAGAATTCATGACTAGAGTCATTGAACTGGTCGTAAATTTGGAGCAGCTCATTATCGACCAGAGTAGACGGAGAGGAGCTAGACTGAACTGTTGCGAATGGAAAAGATGATTCTTGAAAAATCACGTCGCGAGAGACCGAGACAGTGCCAGTTTCAAGGTTAAAAACCCGCCAGCCCTTTTTTCCAAAAGGATAGCCAATGAAAACTGACTTGATACTTCTTGTGGCGAATTTATCACCTCCGTGTTTTTGATTATGAACATAACATAATGAACCAAATACGCGGAGATGATTCATTGGCGGTGGTCGATTGTAGATGAGTTCAAATGGAGTTTTGCCGTCGAGGATTTGTGTGGGAGTGCGGTTAATAAGATATCCGGCTGTTAACGCACAATATCCCCAAAACTCAATAGGTAGATTAGCGTGGAATCGAAGAGCTCTAGCGACATTCAAGATGTGGCGATGCTTTCGTTCTACCCGACCATTTTGCTGCGGAGTTCCAACACAAGATGTTTCATGTATTATACCTTGTTGAGCGAAGAAGTCTCTTAAGCAAATGAATTCGGATCCATTGTCACTGCGTATAGTCTTTACTTGAGCTGAAAATTGGCGTGCAACAAGAGCCAAAAAATTTTTAAGATGTGTTGGAGCCTCTTGTTTCGAAGGTAGCAAATAAATCCAGACCGCTCGCGAGTAGTCATCAAGTATTGTAAGAAAATATCGTGAACCACAAATAGAAGAAACTCGGTATGGACCCCAAAGATCACAATGAATCAATTCAAAAGCAACACTCGTCTTATTATAGCTTAAAGGAAAAGTTTCTCGTGTTTGTTTTGCACGAATACAAACGTCACACGCCTTAGAATCAAATTTAGTACTAGAATCCAAAAACTGCAACATTTCTAGAGCTTTAGAAGAAGGATGTCCCAAGCGAGAATGCCAAATTTCCATAGATGATGAATCCACAAGATTTGCAGCTGCTGTTACCTCCACTCCTCTAAAGAAATAAAGTCCATTTTGTTGCTCACCCGCGCCAATCAGGATGCGTGTGATGCGATCCTGAACAATACAAAGCCTATCAGTAATCTGAAACACACAACCCCGCTGTCTAGTCAACTGCGAAACTGATATAAGATGACACTTCAATCCATCCACAAAAAATACGTCTTGAAGACACAAAGAAGAACCAAGTGATACACGACCCTGTTTGGTAGCCGTAGTGAAGCGACCATCGGGCAGTTTTATAAGAACAGGTGCCATATCCCGTATATCCATTAAAAAATCAAGAGTTCCCGTCATGTGATTAGATGCACCTGTATCAATAATCCAAGATTCGATGAAATACATACCAGATTGATGATCAGCTGTGGTCGATTTTCTCTCTTCAAGTATTTTGACTAACATGTTCCATTGGTCATTGTTCAGTCCGCTTATACCAACTCGATCACTGGACGTCAAAGGAGAGCTATTTGAAGCAACCGTGTTCACTTGAGCTGAATTTGTGAAGACATTGTTCAGCTGAGCAGAATGTGGACTCTTTCCCATCATGGAACCCGCAGACGTTGTTGTAGTGCCACGTCCGGCTCCACCATAGTTAGAGTTACTTTTGCTCGAGTTGCTCCCTTGTTTGCTTCTAGAATTGGAGTTAGATTTTGAATTCTCTCCCCACCATTCAGGATACCCAATTTTCCGAAAACAATTTTCGGCGATATGACCCGTACGGCCACATATAGTGCACACGCCATATGCTGCTTTGTTGTCAAACGGCTTCCGAGAAGGATTTGCTTGAATCACGAAACTGACTCCATCAACCCTCACATCATTGTCACGGCTGAGGTGTTTAGCTTCTTCATCTAGAGTTAAAGCATTGTATGCTTCTTCGAGACTTGGTAGAGGAACTCGAGAAAGCAAGTTTGATTTAACAGCTCCGTATAATGTATCGTCAAGGCCCATGAGGAACTGATGCAGTTTGTCTTCCTCACGTTCCTTTCTCACTTCTTCCATGGTCTTGGCCCTTTGGTAGTCGGCCAAGCTTCCCCAGAGCTGCGTTAATTTTCCATAATAAGCTTCAATAGCTAAGCCTTTCTGTCGACAATTTGCGAGTTCCATCTTGAGACGTTGAACGCGTTGTCCATTTTTCACACCAAAACGCTTCTGAATATGGATCCACAACTCGTTGGAGTTGTTGATATGAGACAGCGATGAGGAGAGACCTTCGTCAATGGTGAGTCGAATCCAAGAGATCACAAGAGCATTATTGGCAGTCCAATCCTCATAGTCTGCATCGTCCTCCATCGGCTGTGGTATGGTGCCATCTACAAATCCAAATTTCTTCCGTGCCTTGAGAGCAAGTCGAAGATTGTTTGCCCATTCATCATAATTAGGGCCGCGCAACAAAGGTTTTGAAATCAAAGTACCCGGATTGTCACTGGAAGTCAGATCATACGGCGATATCGTTCGTCGTGTTTTGATACGAGGCTGTGCCACAACTTCTGTCAAGGCTGATGAGGTAGATGACGAAGAAGATGATGCAGTTGCCATCGTTTTAGAAGATTTCCAACACAAATAGAATCGCTGAAAATTAGGTCAATGAATAGAGATTTTTAAGAAGATAAAACAGAGTAATCTTTTGCGGAATTAGATCACAAGATCGAGCAACAACCTTTTTGTAGTTAGGTTAATGCTCTGATACCATGTCAAATAACTTTCAGTAGTGTATTTTTTATTTCTTAGCCTTCAAGTTACAACTCTCATGCCTTATATATAGGTCATGAGCTCTGTTCGACCTAGTTCTTTGTTAAACCGACAATACACGTTTAAGGGCTAAGCCCATCTAGCCCATTACATTTGATTTCTCTTTTTAGAGAACATCCAAGCCTTTTTTCTGATCCATCTTTTTAAAAAATTCTTGAAAATATTATTGGAGACACATAAGATAGAAACACAGGCTTAAGATTCCCACATCTATACATGCCAGATTTTGCAGTTTTGTTACCTTAGTTATGTTTCTACTCTACTAGACTCTATAGCATATACTGTAACTCCAATAACTTGTTAAAAAGTAAAAGAAAGACGAAGATCAAACCCGATAGTGAGACGCTTGATAGGATCACCAGTAGAATAGCCTTTAAAGTAAAAGAATCTGCTAACATTATAAACCAAACCAAGACCTGCACATACACAAGGATGCTTCATACCACCAAGGATCATAAGCATGAAGTACATTGGCATCATCTCTAAAGAATTCTGATGACCTCTCCGCAATAGCCCCAAATTTGGTTTCCAAATAAAGAACTCACATTTAAAAACAACAAGAAGTAAAAAAAAATGATTACAAAAATTCACAAACCTGAACACAATTGAAAAGCTTAGCATCTTTGTTTTCTTATTCTATAGCATATAATTTTGGATAAGCAATTTTAAAATCCTCTGATGAAGAAAATCTTCTCCTAAAATGTTTACTTCTCTGTTTGTATTTGAGGGTGCAAAACGGTATCGTTTTGGCTAGTCAATGTTTCAATCCGATTTGATTTCGGTTTAATAAATCCGGTTCGAATTTCGTTTGGTTTGTTGATTTGGTATATTCGGTTTGATTGAAACTAACACCCTGCCGTTTTAGTGTTATAAATTTACAGTACCTGCCGTTATGTTCACAAGTATCTTTTTAAAACCACAAAGTGTTTAGGGTAAACAATATCTACCGTCGGTTTATTATCTCAATTGTGTAAGAAAAAAAAATCTCAAAATTATCTCAATTGGGTAAAAAAAAACTTTCTCTCTTCTTGTTCTTGATAGTTGTGTCGGTTTCACTTCAAAATCTATGCTTGGAAATTGGAATCGATTCTTGATTATCTAGGTTTTGTGAATCTTTGGTTCTGATCATGTAGAAGCTGTTCTTGTAGATGCTTAAGACCCTTCACTTGAAAGAACGAGAGAAGTTTGATTCAGATTTCATTATCGTCAGGTTTGTTTGCTTCTTCAAGGAGATTCTTCTTTTGGATGTTTGCTCTTAATGTGTAACTCTGTTTATTCTGTGAGACTATGACAATTGACAGTGTGACTATGTCACTGTTTTAATAGTTCAGTAAAAATGTGAATTTTATCACATTATTTGGCAAAAAAAAAATTTTAAGTGGACAAAATTATAAAGTTTATCTATATTGTTTCTTCTTCCTGTGGTGGTTATAGCTTCTTCTATCGACCAAAATTGTTACTGTGTTTATTCTGTGACTATGGTGTTACTATATTACATTATTTGGCTAATAATCTTAAAGTGGAGAAATTATAAAGTTGATATGTCTTGTTTCTTCTTCCCGTGGTGGTTGCAGTTTATTCTGTGACTAACGTTACTATTGTAAGTGAAAATGTGAATCTTATTACATATTTTGGTAAATAATTTATAGGTGGATAACCATTATAAATTATAAACGTTGCAGTTGGTTGCAGTTGCAAAGAGATTCAATGGTGGCAGAGAAGAGACAGCTCCCAATTCGGCTATTTACTCGTGGGACAGAGCCGATGCCTAGGAAGAGTATGAATTACCACTCTCATATGGAAAAAATGGATAAGGTTTTCAGCAAACTTGGAATGGATGCGTGGCTGAACTTGAGGAATTCTTGTCTTGGTGTTTTCGTAACGTTTTACGAGAAAGAATTCGTCTTTGCGGGTAGGATCGTGCAGCATTTGCTTCTTCGTCAGCTTGTTGTCGAGCAGCCGCATGAAATCTGGTGTTTGTTGGGAGACCAACCAGTGAGGTTTTCACTTAATGAATTCCAACATCTCACTGGACTAAACTGTGGGGAACTCCCACGGGATGATGATGCTGTAATAAACCACCACACCGAGTTCTGGACGATGCTCAAGTTACGGCCTAACAAAGGTCCAAGTTGGGCAAGCTTGGCTAGGTCGTTGGATGAGTGCAGTGGTTGGTCTGTTTGCGACAGAACTAATCTTGGGATGTTGTGTTTGTTGTCAATTTGTGTTTTTGCAATGGACCGGCGGGTTAGGATTCCAGTTTCAATTGCTAAGATGGTGCTGAGGAGGGATACATTTGACATGTATCCTTGGGGGAGACTGGCGTTTATGCATCTGATTCGCGCTATCAAATCCGCGGATTTCGATAAATACAGCCTTGTTATGGACGGTTTCGTTCAAATGTTACAGGTGTGGGGATACTGGGCGTTCCACCGTCTAGGGGAGACGGTCGGAAGTAAAAGAGAGTGCGAGGGCGTGGAACTAACAGGATGGAAAGGTAGTAGGAAGCCATTTGACTTGGACCAGTTACTCTTGGACGATATGAGAGAATATGGGAAGGTATAAAATTTGTTATCAAGTTTCTTTATTTTTATTATTGTAGCAGTAACAAAATTTACAAGTTGAATGCTTACATTATATATGTTTATTTGTTAGGTTCGGGTAACACACTTGCATTATCCGGGGGGAGATTTGATCTTTCCTAAATGGCGAAACGAAGCTCATGATCCTTTGGTTCATTGCATGATTAAAAAAATTATGAGTCTTGGCGACCGCTTCACGCCGACTGATTGGCCTTCCAAGGGAATGAAAGTCGGCAATCCTCAACGGAAGAGAGAAACGAAAAGAAAGGCGTCAGTTAGTCGAAGTTTAAGCGACTCTAGCGGGGTTCATGACGCATGCGGTTCTCCAACTCCGACCAAGAGGAAGCGAGGCAATAATGTTAAATGCAGAAATGTTGCTGGCAAAGCGAGTTTGGCAACAACACAATCTGGCGGATCAAATGATTTGTGGAATTTATCTCTCAGTTCTTATCGAGCAAAGATAAGAACCGAAGACAATGGCAAGTCGGTGTGCCCTGTTTGTAAGTGCAAGGTTAAATTAGTGCCCTGCCTATAGAACTACCAGCTTCGAGCTTCACATTTTGGAGGAAAGAGCAAGAGATCAAAATCATCTCTTATCTCACTTTTTTTGTGTAAAGATATCTGGAGACGCCTCTTTCTTACCTTCCCCTTAAATATGTTTGGATTCTCGGAAATTATTGTGGTTAGGGGTTTAGGCATCACTATGTAGCTACCCCACTTTTTGTTTGATTTTGTGCTTATCTTGTTTATGGGCTTAATTCCTTTTGTTGTAGTATCAAATGCAATCTGTCTATTCCTCATGGTTTTGTGCATTAATGAGATTTCAGATCGTTTCTATTATCGTTTGTAGCTTTAGAATCTTGAACAGGTCTTTAAGTTTTGCTTCTTAAGTTTCCTTTTTAGTTGTGTGACCAAGTAGACTAGTGTTGTTATTTAGCAAGACCTAAGGCAAAATAAAAGATACAAATAAATCCCATAGAAAGTTTTCTTAGGAAAAACAAAAACTCGAAGACAAAATAAAAATCTACCAACCATTTCCTCTCCCATAGCCATATTAGAGTAGTAGATATATATGAAAATATTCCATATCTTCTTGTGTATATCTTTAGAGAATATATTCTAGAATTCTCTAGAATCATCCTTGTAACCTATAAATATAGGACTCCTTATTCATGAATAATATACAACTTTACTAAACCTACATGGTATCAGAGCAATCGATCTAAAAAAAAAAAAAAAAACCCTAAATTTTTTTTCTTTTCTTCTTCCTCACGCCGCTGCCGCCAAAGACCTAGTGTCTCCTTCATACCGGCCGTCCTTCTTCTCCGATCATCATGAGTGAAGAAGTCTCCTCTACGTCATCAACGTCTCATAGAGTACCTATCTTTGATATTGATAGTACATCCCCGACTCTTATCTCCATCAACATGTCAAACATCACAAAGTTGACATCAATCAACTATCTCACATGGCGTCTCCAAATCAAAGCCCTCTTAGATGGTCATGAGCTGCAGGGTTTCATCAGTGAAACCGATCAGACTCCACCCTCTCACATCACCACAGGGACTGTCACAATAGCGAACCCCAAGTTTACTTGCTGGACAAGGCAGGATCGTCTTCTCTATAGTGCTATCATCGGCACACTCTCTCTTCAAGTACAGCCGTTGGTGGCTCGTACTACTACCACGCGTGAGATCTGGGCTTCCCTAGCCAAGACTTTTGGCAATCCATTTCGCGGACACATCAACCAACTTCGACAACAACTCAAAGGTGTTTCTAAAGGAAACCAGTCCGTACAAGACTACATGAAGAGTATTGTCACCAAAGCCTATCAGCTAGCGCTTCTTGGTTCCCCACTGCCACATGAAGACTTACTAGACCACATCACGAGAGGTCTAGATGAAGACTATCGCCCGGTCGTGGAACTCGTCAATGGCAGAGACACACCAATTTCTATTGAGGAGTTACATGAGAAACTTCTTAACAGAGAAAACAATCTTCTCTATGCAGCTACAACAACAACGACACCACCGGCGTCTGCAAACGTGGCACAACAAAAGTTCAACAACCACAACAACAACTACTCTAAGCCACCACAGAACCAGTACAACAACAATAACTATGGCAGAGGAAGAGGTGCTGGACGTGGCTCACAAGGTCGGGGATACCAAGGAAAGTGTCAAATTTGTGGCATCCATGGTCACAGTGCTCGCACCTGTCGTCAACTCAACTCGCCACAATGGTCTCAACCATCGTCGTACTATCCGTCTCCGCCATCACAAAACACGTGGACTCCGTCACCACTGATGCCACCTCAACATTGGCAACCACAAGCTCACTATACCGCTTCCACGAACTACTCCCAAGCCCCCTGGCTTTTGGATAGTGGAGCGACACACCACATTGCCACCGACATGAGCAATATGTCCATCATGGGATCGTACAATGGAGGTGACGAAGTCATTGTTGGTAATGGAGCAGGCTTACCAATCACCAATACGGGTTCTACTACTTTTCCTACAACTACAAAGAATTTATTACTTGATAATATTCTTTGTGTACCAAATATGAAGAAAAACCTTATTTCGGTGAATAAGCTATGTCGGTCTAATGGTGTTATGGTTCAAATGTGTCCTAATGATTTTCAGGTGAAGGATCTCAACACGGGGGCAACAATAATCAAAGGCAGAGCTAATGCAGGGTTGTATGAGTGGCCAACGATTTCTCCTAGATCTTCTTTTGCTTCAGCTTTTTCAATTTCAAAAACGTCTAATTCTGCTTGGCATGCCCGTCTTGGACATCCAGCAAATTCTATTATTCCGTTGATTTCTACTCGTTCTCGGATTCCTATGTCTTTCAAAACAATTTGCAATGCTTGTTCTATTAATAAGAGTCATAAACTACCATTTTCTCAATCATCGCTCAAGTCTCATTCTCCACTTGATATTGTTTTTTCTGATGTATGGACTTCACCGGTTCATTCGATTGATGGATATAAATATTATGTTATCTTTGTTGATCACTATACAAGATATACATGGCTTTATCCGATCAAACAAAAATCTCATGTTGCTACCATTTTTCCTGTCTTCAGGGCATTGGTTGAGAATCGGTTCAAGACAAAGATCACCACGTTATACTCGGATAATGGTGGAGAATATATTGGCATGCGGTCTTACCTTGCCAGTCATGAAATCTCTCATCTCACGTCACCACCACATACACCGGAACACAATGGCATTGCGGAGAGAAAACATAGACATGTTGTGGAGACGGGCTTATCGTTGCTATCTCACGCCAAATTACCACTTGAGTACTGGTCCTATTCGTTTGCTGCGGCGGTATTTCTCATTAACAGAATGCCTACACCGATTCTCTCCAATGTCTCACCATATGAAGCACTCTTTCATTCCGAACCAAACTACACACGCCTTCGTGTATTTGGTTGTCTTTGTTATCCATGGCTTCGCCCCTACTCACAACACAAGCTTTCTCCTCGTTCAGTTCCATGTATTTTTCTTGGATATTCCCTAACACAAAGTGCTTACATTTGTTATGATCTTTCATCGTCAAAAATTTTTGTGTCTCGACATGTTGAATTTTTTGAAGATGAATTTCCCTTTCCAAAATTCGTCACTTTATCTAACACTATCCATGAGTCTTCTTCTTCTGTTTCCCATCCTGTGTCTACAGCTCGGGTCTATCGTGAGCCACTCATCACCAGCTCAGCCCCTAGTTTGGATCCTTCACCAACGTTACCAACGTTACCAACTTCAGCGACGACACAAGACACCAACTTACTGGACCCTATTTCTGATCAAGAAACCGAGAAAGTAGACGATCATGTTGTGGAAGACAACAATGTTGTTGCAGAACCGGAGCCTATCCCAGTTGTCCCGGCCAATGTTCATCCAATGGTGACAAGAGCCAAGAACAACATTAGGAAACCAAACCAAAAATATGTGAATAATGTCACACTTGCGGAGGTAGAACCGACTTCTCATGTTCAGGCCATGAAAGATGAAAGATGGAGAAATTCTATGGGAGCTGAATTTGACTCTATTGTTCGCAATGGTACGTTCACACTCGTAGACCCACGTCATGCATCTAATGTTGTTGGAAATCGATGGATCTTTGTTATCAAGCGGAAACCAGACGGAACAGTTGATAGATTCAAGGCGAGACTTGTTGCGAAAGGCTTTCATCAATGACCAGGCATAGACTTCCAGGAAACATTCAGTCCGGTTATCAAACATGTGACAATACGTGTAGTTCTTGGACTGGCAGCTCGGAAAAATTGGGTTTTACGACAACTCGACGTGAACAATGCATTCTTACAAGGGAATCTTAACGAAGAAGTATATATGAGTCAACCACCGGGTTTTATTGACAAAGACCGTCCACACATTGTATGTCGCTTACACAAAGCGATATATGGATTGAAGCAGGCTCCGAGAGCATGGTATAATGCGTTGAGAGATTTTCTTCTAAGCAATGGCTTTGTTAATTCCTTGGCGGATGCGTCGGTGTTTGTTTTTCACAAGGGAGACGTCCTCATATACATGCTCGTTTATGTTGATGATATTGTTCTTACGGGTAATAGTGCTAAAGCAATTGATGGCTTTATACAAGCTCTCTCTCATAGATTCTCGCTCAAAGACATGGGTGAGCTTTCATACTTTCTCGGTCTTGAAGTCACTCGCACGTCTGCCGGCATACGATTGAATCAACGGAAGTACACGACTGATATACTCACCAAGTATAACATGCTTTATGCTAAACCAGTGCCTACTCCGATGACCTCTGCGACGAGTCTCACAGTTTCTGATGGGAATAGTTTATCTGATCCGACCGAGTATCGTGCTGCAATTGGGAGCTTACAATATCTTGCACTCACGAGACTTGACATTGGTTTTGCGGTTAATAGGCTCTCTCAATTTATGCATAAACCTACAACGGTTCATTGGGACGCTGTCAAACGTGTGTTGCGGTACCTCGCTGGAACGGTAGATCATGGTCTATGGTTTTCTTCTCGTGCTTCCTTGGATCTTAAGGCTTATTCTGATGCAGATTGGGGAGGTGATAAAGATAAGTATTCTTCCACGGGCGCATATGTTGTCTATCTAGGATCACATCCCATTTCTTGGTCTTCCAAGAAACAAAAAGGTGTATCTCGATCATCCACAGAAGCGGAGTATAGGGCTGTTACGGAGGCTGCCTCTGAAGTCAAGTGGATTGTCTCGTTATTATCTGAACTTCGAGTTCGACTCCCGACTACTCCAATAGTTTTTTGTGACAACATTGGTGCTACGTACTTGTGCGCTAATCCCGTGTTTCACTCTCGAATGAAACATCTTGCATTGGATTATCATTTTGTTCGAGAACTCATTCAAGCTGGAGTCATACGAGTCGTTCATGTTAACTCCGTTGATCAACTAGCCGATGGTCTCACTAAACCACTTCCGCGGGCTCGATTTCAAGATCTTCGGTTCAAGATTGGAGTAACCAGTGGTTCTCCATCTTGAGGGGGCATATTAGAGTAGTAGATATATATGAAAATATTCCATATCTTCTTGTGTATGTCTTTAGAGAATATCTTCTAGAATTCTCTAGAATCATCCTTGTAACCTATAAATATAGGACTCCTTATTCATGAATAATATATAGCTCTGATACCATGTAGGTTTAGTAAAGTTGTATATTATTCATGAATAAGGAATCCTATATTTATAGGTTACAAGGATGATTCTAGAGAATTCTAGAAGATATTCTCTAAAGATATACACAAGAAGATATGGAATATTTTCATATATATCTACTACTCTAATAAGCCATTCATAATCGAAAAAATCCAAAACTCGAAGACACATTATCAAGCAAAGCATCACTCATGGCATCTCTTAGATTCTTATCATCAACCGCATCGTAGAAACATCCACGTGTCCTCGACTCACTTATAAGTTCTGCCCAAATCGAACCACTTAGAGCCAAAGTGGTCTCGTGACCAATCACCCATAAACAATGTCTTGCACGAGTCAGTGCCACATTGGCTCTTTGACGGTTACTTAGAAATCCCACGTTTCCATTAACGTTACTTCTAACGGTAGAGATGATGACAATGTCTTCTTCTCCTCCTTGAAACCCATCTACCGATTGAACATTCAAAGTGAAAAGCTGACTTGATAAGGAACCGTACTTATCACCAACTCTCTCTTCGATTGCTTTTACTTGTCCCTTGTAAGGTGAAATAACTCCAACACTCATCTTCTGCTTTCTTAGACTTGAAACTGTTTCAAGATTAAACAAATAAACAAACAAATATATTGCTAAAAAGATTATACAAATCAATAAAGATTAATGTACCTTTGAAAAGATTGGATATGATTCGGAAATGACAGTAACTTCAACCATATTCTTAGGACTATGTCCATCACAAAACTCTTCTTTCCCACGTCCCACATTGATAAAAGAGAAAGAACCAAACATTTTTCCTTGAAGAAACCGCTTTTCGTAAATGCGTTCTTGAACAATCGATGCATCAGTGATTCTCCCATCATAAAACTCCTTATTAGGGAACCGACTAATCGAGGGATGCATCCGATATTGAACATTAAGCAAATGTTTGTTATGACCAATCAAAACCAATCTCTCAAACAAGCTTCTTCCGAACTTCGCCTTTTCGCATTCCTCGTTATGAACCATTGCAGGTAACTGATACTCATCTCCTATTAGAAGCGCATGACGAAGTCCAGGAAGTTGCAATGCAGCAACTGATTCACATTCTTTAAGCTGAGCTGCCTCATCAACCACAAGAAGATCAACAGAGCCTATCCTTGCCGGAATCATATTGGCAACACTTGAGGCTGTGCAGAATACTATGTCTGCTTTTTGTAGACAAAATTTCCTAATATCTTCATAATTTTCTAAGCCAAAAATCCCAAAACATTTTGGAAGTAGACATAGAGCCTCAATAGCGTCAACACTGATGAGTTTGTTAAAGCAATTGAATCTGAAACCACCTTTCTTGAAATCATCTCTAGATGAATTCTCCTGCAAGAAATCTCTAACACGGTGAAGCGCTTGGCGGGCTGCTATCATATTCTTCACATCTTTAGATGAAATGAAAGACTTAGGCAGGTGAGTGCACAAATCAACCATATCTTTCCCCAATTCTTCACTTAAGACATATAACTTCTTTTTCACAAAATCTCCAAATGTAGGAAAGTTTACAACTTCTTCCTTCACACTCTCATCATCTTCCTTCTTAGTTTCAGCTTCTTCCTTCTTCTTTTCGGTTTCTTTCTTCTTTTCATCTTCTTTCTTCTTCTTCTTCTCCTCTTCCAAAATCCTTTGAAGTTCTTCTAATTCATGTACATGTTGCTCATACTTAGCCTCTGTGTTCTCAAGAAAATCTATGATTGACTCCAACCTCTTCTTCCATCCACAAGTAGATAAAAACAGTCTACCAAGTTTACTAACGCGGTCATTGAAAAACACATTGAGAAGAACTTTATTGTTCTTAATCCCCATTCTTTCGCGGTTTCCAGATAGAACTATATTCCCCATACCATACGTGGTACGTTCTAATGTAGAAGTTCCATAGAATAAGGACGAGAACCTCGATACCACTTCAGCAATAGCAGAGTTTGTAGGAGCACACACAATTGTTTCCTTAGATAAAGCCAATAACCTTGATGCAACCGCAACAATAGCTGTGTTTGTAGGAGCACACACAACTGTTTTGCACTTTAGTTGGATAAGAGCAGAGAGAAGAGTCGCGACCGTCTTTGTTTTGCCAGTACCAGGAGGTCCCCATATCAGTTTCACACTCTTCTTGTGATTACAATTTCTTGTCTTAAGGCAACTCAAAATTGCAGCTTCTTGGGAAGAGTTCAGTTCTGCTGAACGGATTATATCGAAAACACTGTCAGAATCAGAACCATCATCATCATTTCCACAAGAAAAACATTGTTCTGTAGCCTGCAAGACAAGTAAACCCACAAATCACTTCATTGTAGCATAAAATATATAAAATAAAATAAAGAAGGTTATTTCTTAATACGTACCAGAGTATTTTCTTGAAGCACACTCTGGATTAGAGTAGAATCGGCAACTTCGTTGTGCAAAGCGTTCCAAATTCGAGTGTTTGTGGTTAAAGTCATGAGAAATATACCTGAACGAAATGAATGTTTCTCACTCTGAGAGAAGTGAACAGAGACTTTATAATCACCATACACAGAGAAAACGTAGCCTAGAAGTAAAGGATTCAAGTCATCGATTCTTGGCCTATCCTCTGTCAAACTCAGAGGACTCAATGCAATAATATCTCCACACTTTGGCTCGTACTTTTCACTTTTGTCGTCTGCATAATCCATTAGTTTTATATCATGGAACAACTTGATCGATGACCTTCCACTAAATTCATTTATCTTTGTCTCCATAGAAAGTATTTGACAGACGGGAGCTTTCGATAAAGATTTGAAGCTCGAGAACAACTCGGTTCGTGTTTCCTCGAGTAAATGAGGAACAAAACACTGAACGTATTCATCAACGGAACTAAATCTGTCTGGTATTGTCTTTATCTGTTACAAAAATACAAAAATAAGTAAGCACCGAATGAAGTTAAAGCTACTGAAGAAAAGGTTAAAAAAAGATCAAAAACCTTTTCCTTGTAGAGATCTTCGTTGAGGATATCTTTGATTGACCAAGAACATAGTCTAGCGAATAGACTTGTCTGCTCGTTTTTTTCCAAGAGCTTTCGTATCTCTTTACTGTCCATCAAAGCAACTGTAGAAATTACCAAACAGCTTACTTGTCTTACAAGGCAAGAAACTCTTTTATAGGTTTGGTGCAGAAGAATCAATGGAGATTGGAGACGAAAAAGACAGATCTGGTGTAACTCTCACTCTCAGTTTTGGTCTACTTGAAAGGAAGAATAAGGTGGTTGCTCAAAAAAAAAAAAAAAAAAAAAAAAGAAAGGAAGAATAAGGTGAAAGGTCCAAAGACACTTTGAAAATGTTCTCAAACTTTTAACATTTTCCAAGAAAATCTTGTTAATGCATGCGTGGACCTCAAATTTTGAATATGAGATTTTGCATGCGTAAAGTTTACAGAGTAAAGAAGAAATCCTTAGTTAATAGGCATTTAAAATCATTACTTTTTTTTTTGTTTACGAGAAATCAATTCAATTCTGATGTTGATTTTCCAAATTACATGGGGAAGAAGAAAGGTCGGGATTTTAAGAACATAGCATTCATGGTCCCGCTTCTAGTCGTAATAATATCTAAAAGTATAATTGAATTAGTTAAGAATATAAGATGTATTAACATTAAACAATTTAGGTGTCACAATTAAAGTTCTAGAAATTAGAATGATAAAGTTGTTAAGACATGTGGTAGCTATTAGTAGTACTCTTGTATATTAAAGTGAATTATACTCTGGCTTGAGATCAGGGCCGGCTCAAAAAAATTAAGAACCCTGAGGTGAAAAGAATAATTGGCCCTAATTTCCTATGTATTTTTATAAAAAGAAAATTTTGGACCCTAATTTTAATAAATTTAGTTATAAAAAAGACAAAAAAATTTTGGACCCTGTGCATGAGCACCCCCAGCACATGGGTAGAGCCGGCCCTGCTTGAGATAAACCCATCAGAAAACAATACGCTATTATTTGGTCTTGTTATTAAATCAATCTAATGTTAACTTAGCATACAACTGTAGTTATATATTTTGCCTAGTCTTATATTTTGTCTTGTTATTAAATCAAATCTAATGGTATTCTGGATATTTTGCCTAGTCTTATAAACAACTTAGCATATACTGTAGTTATATATTCACTCCCATTCGTTTGATAAGATGTTTTAGAAGTTTTTATTTCCATATTATTTGATTTTTTAAAATTTTCTAGACAAAATTTAAATTTATTTAATAGTTTATGACTATACAAATTTTGTAGTATTTGTTTTCATTGATTGAATTAGTTTTTATTATGCATTAAATCATAGTAGTTTTTTAATCTTTGTGTTTTTATATAAAACATCTTATAAAAAAAACGGAGGAAATGTTTTTTTATCAATGACCTTTGATAAGGGAAGAACCGGTCCAAATAATTCAAAACGAGCCCGTTTTGAGGAGTTAACAACACAAGCCAAAACTCAAATCAAATCTTTCACAATTTATCGGGCAAAAAACAAACAAGAGTTTAGAAAATCCCTAATCTCCTGAATAATTTTTTTTTTTTTTTGGTAAAAGCGAATGGATTCTCACAACTAAAAACCATAAACTTTAACAAAAAAAAATATATTGAAAACCATAAATATCATAAAACATCATAAAAAGACCATACAGAGTTTGATAAGAAAACACACATAAAACTTAAAACAAGTTCATATAAAAATCTACCAAGCATTTCTTCTCCCATAACCACTCCTGATAGAAAGAGATCCAAAACTTGAAGACACATCCTCAAGCAAAGCTTCATTCATGGCATCTCTTAGATTCTTCTCATCTGCAGCATCGTAAAAACATCTACGTGTCCTAGACTCACTTATCAGTTTAGCCCAAATCGAACCACTTAGAGCCAAAGTTGTCTCATTACCAATCACCCATAAACAATGCCTTGCTCGAGTCAGTGCCACATTGGCTCTTTGACGGTTGTTGAGAAATCCCACTTTTCCATTACCGTTGCTTCTAACGGTAGAGATGATGATAATGTCTTCTTCACCACCTTGAAACCCATCTACCGACCGAACATTCAAAGTGAAAAGTTGACCAGATAAGGAACTGTACTTATCTCCGATTCTGTCTTGGATTGCTCTCACTTGTCCTTTATAAGGTGAAACCACTCCAACACTCATCTTCATCCTTCTTTCACTTGAAACTGTTTCAATATTATGCAAATTAGTAAAACAGAATTATAAAAAATAGTTTAAAAATCAATAAAGATTAATACTCCCTCCGTATTTTAATAATTGTCGTTTTAGAATTTTTATTTTTTTGAATTAGATGTCGTTTTCAAATTTTAATGCAAAATTTCTTACTTTTTAATGTTTTATGATGTCATAAAACATTAAAAAGTAAGAAATTTTGCATTAAAATTTGAAAACGACATCTAATTCAAAAAAATAAAAATTCTAAAACGACAATTATTAAAATACGGAGGGAGTAATACCTTTGAAAAGATTGGAAATGATTTCCGAAATGACAGCAACCTCAACCATGTTTTTTGGACTATATCCATCACCAAACTCTTCTTTTCCATGTCCAACATTGATAAAAGAAAAAGAACCAAACATGTTTCCTTGAAGAAACCTCTTTTGATAAATACTTTCTTGAACATTCGCAGCATCTTTGATTTTCCCACCATAGAACTCTTTATTAGGGAAACGACTAATCGAAGGATGCATTCGATATTGAACATCAAGCAAATGTTTGCTATGACCAAGCAAAACCAATCTTTCAAACAAAGATCTTCCGAATTTCGCCTTTTCACACATCTGCGCCGCATTATTCCAAGATTTCAATATATACGATTTTGGAAAAAGCAGACAGTTTATTTAAGGTCAGTAAGTACCTCATTATGAACCATTGCGGGTAATTGAAACTCATCTCCTATCAAAATGGCGTGACGCAGTCCCTGAAGTTGCAATGCAGCAACTGATTCACATTCCTTAAGCTGAGCCGCCTCATCAACCACAAGAAGTTCTATATTTCCTGTCCTTTCCGGATTCATTTCAGCAGCACCGGAAGCCGTACAGAGGATTATATGCGCGTTTTGTAGACAAAATTTCCTAATATCTTCGTTTTCCAACATGTCGGGTATCTCAAAACGTTTTGGAAGTAAACGTAGAGCCTCAAGGCAATCAACACTGATGAGTCTTTTGAAGCAATCAAATTTGAAATTTCCTTCTTTGAAATCAACTCTAGAAGAATTCTCCTGCAAGAAATATCTGACACGTTGAAGAGCTTGACGGGAAGCAATCATTTTCTTCACATCTTGAGATGAGTAAGACTTGGGAAGATGTGTGTACAAATCAACCATGCTTGTCTCCACTTCTTCACTTAAGCTATTAAAATTCTTCTTTACGAATTCTCCAAACGTAGGAATGTTAACAACAACTTCTTGCCTTTCAGCTTCTTCCTCCATTCTTTCAATTTCTTCTAACTAGCTCGTAGACATGTCTCTCATACTTCCCCTCCGGGTTTTCAAGAAACTGTATCAGTGACTCTAATCTCTGCATCCATCCAGAAAATGGTGAAAATAGTTTACCAAGCTTACCAATACGCTCATCAAGAAACACATCAAGAAGAACATGATCGTTCTTGTTAATCCCCATTCTGTCCCGGTTTCCAGATAGAACAATATTCCCCAGCCTGTAAGTAGCATGCTCTGATGAACAATTTTCCTTAAATACAGACAAGAGCCTTGATGCAACTTGTACAATAGCTGTGTTTGTAGGAGCACACACAACTGTTTTACACCTTAGTTTGAGAAGGGACAAGAGAAGAGTCGCGACCGTCTTTGTTTTGCCTGTTCCAGGAGGTCCCCAAATCAATTTCACACTATTCTTATGACTACAGTTTCTTGTCTCAAGGCACCCCAAGATTGCAGCCTCTTGGGAAGAGTTCAATTTCGTTGAACGGATTATATCCAAAACAAGGTCAGATCTCTCAAAATCATTACCAGAACAAAAACATTGTTCTGTACCCTGTAACACAAGCAAAACAAAATTTCCTCAATTGTAACATAAAATATCAAATCATTACCAGAACAAAAACATTGTTCTAAACCCTGGAACACAAGCAAAACAAAAATTACTTCATTGTATCATAAAATATAACTCAATCATTACCAAAACAAAAAAAACATTGTTCTAAACCCTGTAACACAAGCAAAAAAAAAAATTACTCAATTGTAACAAAAAATATAAATTAATCATTATGCATTAGAGAGACAAGAACAACGTATCCATCAAATGCAAAGATATTTTAAAAAACAGCAGATATACAAAAAAAGCGAAACAAGATTATTTCTAAACACTTACCAAAGTATTTGCCTGAAGCACACTCTTGATTAGAGTCGATGTGTCAGCTTCGTTGTGCAAAGCATTCCAAATTCGAGTGTTTGTCGTTAAAGTCATGAGGAAAACACCGAAGCGATAGTTCTCAACAAGTGATATCGATCTAGACAAATGAACAGAGATTTTAAGATCACCATCTGAAGAAAATACATAACCGAGAAGTAAAGGGTTCAAGTCATCGATCCGTCTTGGCTTTTCCGTTGTTAGAGCAATAAGATCTCCACATTTTGGCTGGTACTTGGCACTTAAACCCTCTGCGGCCTTTAAGGTTATATCATAGACCAACTTGTTTGATGAGCTTCCACTTGATTGCTTCATCTTTGTCTCCATAGAACGTATTTGAACAACAGGAGATTTCGATACAGATTTGAAGCTTGAGAACAACTCGGTATGTGCTTCCACGAGTAGATGAGGAACAAAACATTGATAATATTCATCAACGGATCTAAACTTGTCTGGTACTGTCTTTAACTGTTACAAAATATATAAACGTTTATCTATAAATAACAAAATTATAAGATGAATATTAAAGAAAAGAGTTAAAAGAGAACAAAACCTTTTGCTTGTAGAGATCTTTATTGAGAATATCTTTGATAGACCAAGAAAATACTCTATCGACCAGACTTGTTTTCTCGTTCTGGTCCATGACCCTTCGTCTTTCTATAAGATTATTCATCGAAGCAACAGCAAGAACTAACCTGAGTTATGTTGGAAATAACCTAAATACGTAACTTGGCTTAGAAGGCACGAAAATAGATTGACAAGGAGAAAGTAAATCTTTATAGAGAATTCAACAAAGACGAAGAAGAGAAATCTGAAGTGAACTCTCACTATGATCAGTTTGGTCTACTTAAAAAGGAAGACGAAGACGAAAGGTCCAAACAAACTTTGTAAATGATGTCAAATTTTCAACAGTTTCCAAGAAAATCTTGTTAACATAATTCGATTTTCTTTTTTAATTTATTTGAAATTTAAATATGTAATGACCAATGAACGGAATTCGCATGATTAAAGTCTACATTCATAGTTATTATACTTACATGCATTTTAATTTTTAAATCATTACATTTTTTTCCTTTTTTTTCACGAGAGATTAATTCAACTAGTAATGTCAATTTTCCAAATGGCTCGGGGAACAAGAAAGGTCGGAATTTGGAGAACAATGCGTTCATGGTAGTGGACACAAGTTGTCCGTTTCTAGTCGTCATAACCAAAAACTAAAGGTTAAGTTGTTTTGTTTTCTTCTTATTATTGAGTTTTACTAGGACTCGGACCCCGCGATACCGCGGGGGAAGATATTCAAAATTTTTATATATAATTAAGATATGTTTTAAAACAAATCAAATTCAAAATGATGCATATTATAAAATTTAAGTAGTTATTTAAGAAAATATATAAACATTTACATAGGCAAACCTGTTTGTAAAAAATAAACAACTATTAGAACGAAAAGTGGTGATAAAAAACAAGAATAGGTAGAAAGACACAAATCTAAAAGAATGGATCTAATTTTCTAAAAAGACACAACTGTAAAACGTAAGCTTAGAGAGGACTGAACCTTTGTGTTTTTAAATTATTCTAAAATATATATTTTACGAAGGGTTAAGATCAAATGACACAACGGTAGAATCTATTTGTGAGGATTACCCTTCAATCTTGGGCCATCTCTTTAAAAAGAAGTTGTCGTTTTAAAATTAGTTTAGAGGATTGAATATTTGGTAAGTACCGAGAAATATAGACAAAATATATAAAGTTCAAAGATATGTAAAATATATACCTTCTAGAACAAAAAATTGTGATAAAAAGAAAAATAAAATATGGTGAAAATACATAATTCTAAATGACTAAAAGTAACTTTGTAAAAAAACCATAACTGTAGAAGATATTTTTCTTTTTCAGTTATTCAAATTAAATAAAATTATTTAACGAAGCGTTACGGTGAACGGTTTCGAAGAAAAGGCAAAAATGGGTGAAAAGACACAAATTTGAATTACTAGATGCAACCTTGTACAAATACACAATTGTACAAAATAATTTTCTAATTATTAAAAATTAAAATAAAATATTAATGAAGGGTTGCGATGAAAAGATACAACCATAAAAGGCATTTATTCAGATCAGAAATAAATAAAAATATATTATGATCAATTACGATGAAAAGACGCAATCGTATGAGATATTTATTTAGATTATTATTATTGTAACGAAGAGTTACGATGAAAAAAAGTAACCATATAAAGCATTTATTCAGACAAAAATTAAAATTAAAATAGTTTACGAAAAGTTACGATGAAAAGACGCAAATGGATGAATAATTTATAATTAAGAGACGCGACCATAAATATCAAATATACCGATGGTTGCAACTGTTCGTCAAATAAAGTAAATAATACAATAGTTCACAAAACAAACCAAAATTTGCAATGGTTTAATTTGTCAAATAAATCGAATGTGGTAATGGTTTAACTAAATGGTTGCAAAAATTTATTTAAATATATTTTCGTAATTCAAATTTTTTTTTTTATGAAAAGTTATATCGAGAGACGCGACCGTGGATTTCAAATATGCCAAAGGTTGTAGGTTTGTCGATTAAACTAAAGGTTACAATGGTTCATAAAATGAACCAAAAGTTGCAATGATTAGTCAAATAAACTAATTGTTGCAATTATTCAATTAAACTATTTGCAAAAATTTATTTAAATAGTTGAAAATTGTTTTTTTTTATAAAAAGTAATACCGAGAGACGCGATTGTAGATATTTTATGGGGGATTAGCAAAAATACCCCTTTTCTCATGCCCCTTTTCAAAAATGCCCCTTTTAGATGTCCATTTTCAAAAATGCCCCTTTTTAAATCTGAAATTTTTATAAAGTTTTATTAGGTTTATAAGGTACTTATGGATTGTAACTACTACTTGAAGACTCGATCCAAGTATTTATAAGGTTTTATAAGGTGTTTTTAAAGGTTTTACAAGTTATTTTAAAGGATTTTTAAGGTTTTTCAAAGGTTTTACAAGATATTTTAAAGGTTTTTAAAGGTATTTAAAATGCATTTATAAGGTATTTATAAAGTATTTATAAGATTTTAGATACATAGAAATGTAGTTTGTGTATGTTTTTAATAATATTACATACATATTTGGGTAAATCTTATATTTTTAAGAGCATTTTTTATAAGGTTTTAAAAAAGGGGTATTTTTGAAAAGTGGCATTAAAAAAGTGGCATTATTAACAATTTCCCTTTTATCAGATGCTGTAAAGATTTTTCAAATAAAATAAGGGTTACAGTGGTTCATTAAATTAAAAAAATAATATAATGGTCCGTAAGTAAACCAAATGTTGCAATGGTTCAACTAAGGGTTTCAAAATTTTATTAAATATTTTAGTAATTTAAAATTAAATAAAATATATTTTGAAGAGTTATGATCAAAAGTCGCAACCGTTGAAATGACTCTAGAATGCATTTGTTCAAATTGTTATTATTATTAGATTAACTAGTGTTTATATTTCTTATTTTCTCTTTTTGAAAAAAAAAATTCCATTTCTTATTGCAACAAGGTTTCAAAAGTAAATCTAACTAGGTAATTTAGTAAATGCATTGTAGTTTATTTACAAAATTATTGTATTGTTATCCCAAATCTATTTGTGTATTTTGAAACATGTAATAAATATTTTATTCTATTTCATATATATTTCAATGATTTATGATAGATAACAAAAAATAAAATACCATATATGTACAAATTTGATATGTTTTATATAAACAATGTGGAATATAGGTATGAAACATATAATTAGGGTTGGCCATTCGGATACGCGGGTCAGGTTTGGGTAAAATCCATTCGGGTACGGGTTCTTTGGATAGAAGAGGTTAGGACCAATAGGGTATATAGAAAATTCGATTTGGTTTCGGTTCGAGTCTTTTCGGGTTCGGTATAGATTTTCAGAACCGTTAAATACCTGCTATGTAAATTTCCAGGTAAATTCTCAGGCTTTCAGGTAAATACCCGGGTTTTTGGATAAATACTCGGGTTTTCGGGTAAAAATTCAGGTTTCGGGTAAATTTTGGGTTTTCGAATAAAACCTTCGGGTATTTTCGCGTTCGGATCGAATTTTTAGAGTTAGTTCCGGTTCGGGTACTCGGTTCCAGTTTTTTTACCTAGGCCTACATATAATAAAGATTCTTATTATATATTAATGTTCAACATGATTTATGCTATGTATCAAATTTTATTTATCACTTATTTCGTAAATATATGCTCTTGTTAGTTAATTAATTATTAATCTCTTAAATATTGAAGAGAACTGTCTAAGTAACACCAATGACACTATTTGTAATTAATCTAGTATATGTTTGGTAGTTAATTAAATTTTCTAAAAATCTCTCTAGGCGCTATTTGTTAGCATGACACTCTTGTAAATTACACATAAAGATAAGGATTTAAGAGTATTTCTCAATTAATATATAAGGAGTTTACCATTCATCGACATGCATATTACATAAACTATTTTAAAATTATTTCAAATATATTATTTTAGCTCATATATTTAATTTTATATATTCCATAAGTTTCCGTTTTTTTTAATAATTTAAGAAAGAATAAGTTTCCAAATATAGAAAAAGTCTTTATATATAAATTAAATATTTGAAATTTATAGTTAGTATATTTAATATTTTTATATTTTTGGTTATTTTTTTTTAGGTTTGTTTATTTTAATTAACTAATATATTTTTAATTAATTTTTATTTGTTAGTATATATGCTTTGTTTGGTATAATACCAATATGTTATCGTAGCGTAACGGTTGAGAGCCCCTTTTAAGTCCAATAGGTCAGCTGTTTGAATACTCATATACGCAGTTTTTCATCTTATTTTCTAATTTTCTAAACGACGTCGTTTAGATTCACAGAGACTTCTAAAGGAAAGTTAACTCCGTTATCGTCTAATTAACGGAAACTTAACGTTATTCTCGAAACGGCCAAGTCAATGAAACTTGACAATTTTTACAAAAGTCAAACTAGACTTTATGATTTTAATGATATTTCAAAAGTTCATGTTTTTTTCGTCCCAAATTTGAAAGTTCGCGCTTTTTTCGACATTTTTCTAATTTTTAATATTTATATGTTTTCATATATTACTTCAGATTTATTAAAATTATTCAAAACATTAAGTATAATTGTATAAGTGTATATTAGTAAGGTAACATTAAATTTTGTTATAAAGAGTAGCATTCAAGCACATATTCATGCGACTCCTTTGTACTCTTGAATCAATTTACGTTTATTAATAAAGTCCAATTCATCTACTGTGAAATCTATCTTACGCATACACCAAAAATTTTGAGACAAAATCCATAGTATCAGTTCGTGCCAAAGTGTTTTCCATTGTTTCTACCGGAAGATTAGTTAGTAGTGATTTAAAAATAACTACTCAATCATTGTAGAAATGTTAATTTTAAAATTATGTAATTAAATTTTCTTTCTAATAATAATTTAAAATTACAAAATGATTACAAAAATAGTTAGCACAAAATCAAGCAAAAACATTTATGGTTCACAATTTAATACTTTTTTAGGCACCAAAAAAAATTTCTTTTTTTTTTATGTTGCCGCTTCAAGTTGCATTCTTCGTTGTCATAATTATATACCATTATATCAGGGCTTTTTATTTTTAACAAGTGAACAAGTGATAAACAAATAACACTAAGCTTTCTTTTTTCTTTTTCTAAGATTTCTTAAAATTCATCTTCAAATAATAT